ACTTTTGGGAAGCCAAGGTGAGAGAATCGCTTGAGTCCAGGAGCTTGAGACCGGCAGGGGCAACATAGCAAAACCTCATCTCTACGAAGAATTTTTAAAAACTAGCCGAGCATGATAGCACAGGCCTGTAGTCCCAGCCACTCAGGAGGCTTAGGAGGAAGGATCACCTGAATCCAGAAGGTAGAGGCCGTGGTAGCCGTGATTGTGCCACTGCACTCCAGCATGGGAGACGGAGGGAGACCCTGACTCAAAAAAAAAAGTTATTAAGTTTAAATGAGGTCTTGCCGGGCTCGGTGGCTCAGCCTGTAATCCCGCGCCTTTGGGAGGCTGAGGTGAGTGGATTGCCTGAGCCCGCGGGTTCGAGACCCGCCTGGGCAACAAGACCTCATCTCTACAATAAATCAAAAAATCAGCTGGGCGTGGTAGCGCATGCCTGTAATTCCGGCTACTCGGAAGGCTGAGGCGGAAGGATCGCCGGAGCCCAGCAGGCGAGGCTGCGGTGGCCGGGAGCGGCCACTGCACTCCAGTCTGGGCGACAGAGTGAGACTCCAACTCAAAAAAAAATAAAAATAAAAAAAATAAAAAAATAAATGAGGTCTTCAGGATGGGCCCTGATCCAACATCACGAGTGTTCTCAAAAGAAGAGGAGATTAGGGTAGACACACAAAGGGAAACCGTGTGAAGACGCAGGGAGAAGACCGTCTACGAGCCAAGGAGAGAGAAACCAACCCTGCCAATACCTTGGTCTCCCACTTGTGGCTTCCAGAATTGTGGGAAAATACACTTCTGTTGTTGAAGCCGCCGCATCTGTGGCACTTTGTTATGGCTGCCCTGGTACACCAACATGAGGAGGAAGGACCAGGAGGTTTGTGGGGTACAGGAGTGTAGGGAGCGGGGCAGGGAGGCGTAAGGGGTGAAGGCGGTTTCTGACTGTGCGGTCTGGTATGTGACACTGCTGTGTCCCAAGAGGAGTGGCCCAGGGGCAGCCACGGGGTCGGATAAGGGAGATGACTCGGGACAGTCGAGTGGAGATGTCCCCTGAGCAGCTGCCTGTGCCAGGCTGGGGTTCTGTCAAGGGTCATGAGCTGGGGTGCAGGTCTCGGGATCTCCAGAGAAAAGGGCAGTTGAAGCAGAGTCGTAGGTGTGGTTGCCCAGGGCACACGTGTACGGTGAGAACAGAGGGCGGAGGACAGAACCGCAGCAGTGGGGGTCCAACACTTGGGGGAGAGAAAAGGAAGAGGGCCTGGGTACAAGACAGAGCGGGAGGCATTGGTGGGAGCGTCTCAGAGAAGCATAGGTCAGGAAAGTCAGGAGAGGCTCTCAAATGCTGGAAAGCTCAGTGTTTCCAACACTGCTTTTACACACACGCACACGCACATGCACACGCACACACATGGTCTGCTGCTTTGTAGCGATTCTCTCTATTATTATTATTATTAATTATCATCATCATTATTTTTTGAGCTGGGGTCTAAGGCTATTGCCCAGGCTGGAGTGGAGTGGCACGATCACAGTTCACTGCAACCGAGACCTCCTGGGCTCAGGTGATCCTTCCTCTTCAGCCTCCTGAGTAGCTGGGACTACAGGCACACACCATCACACTCGGCTAACTTTTTTTTTTTTTTTTGTAGAGACGAGGTTTTGCCATGTTGCCTCAACCTCCTGGGCTCAAGTAGTCCTCACCCTGGCCTCCCAAAGTGCTGGGATTACAGGTGTGAGCCGCCAGCCCGGCCTCTCATTCTTTTATGTGTGTTTTTCTTTGGGTTTCAGAGTCAGAACTAGAGTCCTGTCTGTTTGCATTTCCAGAGGCGACAGAATGCCTTTAGCGCTACCTCCCTGCGGCACCATGACTGCCTTCACGGCCGGTGGCCCCCTTCAGCCATCTTCCCGACAGGAGCTGCCAGCTGGTGTCTCTCTCTCTCTCTCTCTCTCTCTCTCTCTTTCTCTCTCCCCCTCCCTCTCTCTCTCTCTCTCATGGGCTGTCTTGGTTTTTCCTCCAGGCCTTCCTTAGACCCTCCCTTCATGATGATGCCTGGCTAGGAGAGAGAAACCCCAGGGCTCTGGTTCAGGTGTTTGAGGTGAGACTGCTCTTTTTAAGGCTCATTGTGGGGTTGGGCAGAATCCATGTGCCTTTAGCCAGAACGGTGGAAACCACTGCTTCCACTGCCCACTGCTTCCACTGCCCACAGCTTCCCCAGACCTGGGAAGAGCCACTTGGCCCAGAAGCGTCATAGGTTCCAGAGCATCACCCTTTACTTACTCTGGGAGGGAGGACACTTAGACTCCCTCTCTATTCCTCACTCCAACCCAGGAGGTGATGCCTCAGAGAAGGTGAGGCGGTTTTCCCAAGGCCTCATGATGAATGAGACCCAGGATGTCTCCCAGAGATCTCTCCACGAGGAACCTACTCTCTCTCCTGCTGTCTTCTCACCCACCACTCTGCAAGTCCTTCCTTCTCCAGTTTGACTCCCTGGTTGCTCCAACTGCCCGTGTGCTGAACTCTAGAAAGAATCTGTGGAAGAACTGGACCACCTTCACTCCAAATACAGACCATCCGCGGTAGCCAGGAAGCCCGGGCAGCCAGTCATTGCTGCTGGCTCCCCATCCGAGGCACTCCTGGGGCATGGAGGAAGCCATGTGAAGACAGCAAGGTTTGCGCCTTAAGAAGCGTCCTGTTGAGCCGGCCATCTGAATGCTGGATGAAATGTCAGGGGTCATCGTTGCTAACCCACTCACCTTCAACAGCAATGACTTTTAGGCCATGCACATTCGGTGTCATTGGAACCGCAAAAGAAGGAGGAGGTGAGAAGGCCAGCCTTCTCTTCCTCCCACCGAAATGAAACAGGAAGAAGGGTGCCCACCTGGCTAGGCCTCTCAAGGAGAGCTCAGTCTTTTTCTTCCTTCCTGTCTCTCTTTCTCTTTCTTTTTTTTTTTCTTTTTGAGTGGGAGTCTCACTCTGTCGCCCAGACTGGAGTGCAGCGGCCGCTCCCAGCCTCCGCAGCCTCAACCTGCTGGGCTCTGGCCATCCTTCCGCCTCCGCCTTCCAAGTAGCCAGAATTACAGGCGCACACTACCACGCCCGGCTAATTTTATTTTATTGTAGAGATGAGGTCTCGCTGCCCAGGCGGGTCTCGAACCCGCGGGCTCAGGCCATCCACTCACCTCGGCCTCCCAAAGGCGCGGGATGACAGGCTGAGCCACCGAGCCCGGCTCTCTCTTTCTTTCTTTCGAGTTGGGGTATCACCCTGTTGCCCAGGCTGGAGTGCAGTGGCCCTACCGTGGCTACTGCAGTCCTCTGGCAATCCTCCTGCCTTAGCCACCAAGCAGCTGGGACCACAAGGTGCCCGCCCCCAGACCCGGCTACATTTTTTTTTTTTAGAAAGAGACAAAGTATTGCTATGTTGTCCAGGCTGGTCTCAAACTCCTGGGCTCAAGCAATCCTCTCACTTCCGCCAGGATTACAGGCGTGAACCACTGCGCCCGGCCTGGGAGCTCAGTCTTAAGTGACAAACTCTGCAGTCTTGTCACTTCAGCTCTTGGCCTTTCTGAGGTCCCCATCGTGAAGCTTCTCCCCAAGAGACCTCTTCCCCCAACCCAGACCCAGTGATGACCCAGACTCTGAGCATCAACTACCAGCAGGGAGAGGAACTCTCAGTCCCCAGCTCCCTGGCAAAGCCTGACACTTTGAGTGGTTCCAGTCCTCTCTCACTCCGAGATTAAATCTCCCTCCCTAGAACTCCCTTCCACAGTCAGGAGGGAAAGAAGTGCTGAATACAAGCCCCGAAGCGAGGGGTCTGGAAGCTTTTTCTCCTCACCCTCCCCCCCACGTTAAGGCTGGGAAAGGCAGCTCTGGGTCCCTGGGTTCACCTGCTCCCAGCCAGGCCCTGTGCCTGCAGGGGATTCTGTACAGCCATGCTGTTTCCTCATACCTGAGCTGTCCACCCTCCAAGTGCCACTCCCGGCCCCAGCGCACTATTTAAGGCCGGCACACCAGAGCTGACAGTGAGTCACAGCACCCAGGAGGGCCGCGGCCGCTCCGCTCTCCCAGCACCCAGCCACACCGTGAGAAGCAACCTTCCTCTCACCATGGCTTCCCTGGGGCAAGTCATCTTCTGGAGGTAGTGTTCTCTCCTCTCTCTCCTTACAGAGGGAGGGAACGGGCTGAGGTCTCTGGGCGTGCTGAGCGCTGCTGGGCTGTCTCACAAGACTCCCCCTCTAATTTGTCTGATTCGGGCTTGGGCCTGTGGGAGCCTGGCCCCATAAGAGCCTAACTGGACTGGACTTGACATCGTGTCCCAGCCACTCAGGGCACCTGCCCAGGGTGAGGGGGTTTGGGTGGGTGGCCTGCCGTGAAGGGCTGGCACCTGCTGGGGTAGCTTAGACTGAAGAGAGCGTGTGGCAGGCTAGGAGCTCCCCTGAGATGCCAATGCTGTGAGCACCATGGGGGCACCGAGGGTGGCATGGGCTGCTTGGTGGGATGGAAAGGAATCCGTGGCTGTGATGGAGATGCAGCCCTCAGGATTTTTTGCAGAGATGGGGTCTTGCTATGTTGCCCAAGCCTCCTGGCCTCCAGCGAGTCTCCTGCCTCGGCCTCCCAAAGTGTTGGAATAACAAGTGTGAGCCCACCACGCCCTGCCTGGGTGCTCAGTCCCAATTAAGTGACAAACTCAGCCATCTTGTCACTCCAGTTCAAGGCCTTTCTGAGGTCCCCCAGCATGAATCTCCTTCACAAGAAACACTCCCCCCAAGCCCCCAACTCCCAGTGATGACCCAGCCTCTGTCTGACCATCAGCTACACAGGAAGGCGAGCATGCTTTGAATCTTCTCTGCGGATGAGATTTCTCAGCACCCCTGAGCAATTCTCACCAACACCCCTCCCCACCTCTCAGCTCAAGGACGGGGTCCCTGGTTTTCCCGGGAGAGCCTTGGAGAGGAGACCTCTCCTGCTGCTTCTGCCTGACTCACCAGAGGTGAAGATAGAAAGAAGTTGCCTCCCCTACCTTTTGCCTCCCTGCCGAGCTCCATCCTAATGGTTCCTTTTTTCCTGAGTATCATTTGGCTTTCTGGAAGGGAAGAGACGGAACGTGAAGGGCTTTCTCGAAACGGTTGGCACGTCAGTGTCTGTGTTCGGGAAGACTGACACTTGTTGGCCCTTGAGGTTGTTTGAAGGACCAATCTTCCAATGTCTACGTATCTCTTCTCACGAAAGGCAGAAAGAAGGGCTTGAGAGAAGGAGGGAGGAAAGGAAGCCTCAGATGAACAGTGAAACGTTGGTGAAGGTCTGAGAGAACAGCGTTGCTTCCCAGAGCTAGCCTAGAAAATTATTTTCCTTGAGACAAAGCATCAGCTTCCTCACTCGTGTTCATCTGAAATCACGAGCCAGGCGGGGGTGGGGTGAGGGACACCATGAGGCCGGCGGGGGCTGCTTACAGCACACCCTTCCCTGCGCCTGGCAGGGACACTGTGCTTCATCAGATGCCTGAGAAGCAGCAGGTGGCGGGGACTTCCATCCTGACTTTTCTGTCCCAGAGAAAGTTCCCGAGAAGCACCTAGGTCAGAGGAGCTAGCATTCGGTGAGCACCTCTCTCGCTGTCTGGCACTGTGTGAAGGTCAGTGTCACCTCTGAGAAATTAAGTCTCTGGCCCACGGCAAAGTGACCGTGTGACTGTGCGTGAGGGGAGCTTGCTCTGAGCCCCACGCTCTCTCCTGATCCCGTGCTGCCCCAGCCTCCTCACCCCCATCCCGCCAGCTCTGGTCCCGAGGATAGGAAACATGCCTCCTTTAACAAGTGGCTCTGTGGTTCCAAGGACGCATGTGTGGGCTCTCTAAGATTATTTTACAACCAGTCGGACAGGTTTAGCCAGAGGATTAGCAAGAGGTGGGTGTTTGAAATTCAGATCTCCCACCCTGCGGAGACCCACTGAAATCAACAGAGGCGCCTCTTGTTGGCCCCAGCATGCCTTGCTATTTATGCTCTGCAGTTGCAAGGGTAGTGACCCTCCCCAAAGGTGGCAAGTCCTTTGTGCAAGGGGACCACCAGGAAGAGGGGCAATGAGCAGCTTTTGAGGGAGCAGGATCTTGGAGCTTGCAGGTGGAGCCCACCTGGGGGAACTCTTGGCCCTAACCAACCCTCTTCCTCTGCCAAAATTTCCTTACTTCAGTAAAAATGCTGAGACCAGCCTGGGCAACATAGTAAGACCTCATCTCTAAAATAAAAAAATAAAAAGCGAGCCGGGCATGGTGGTGTGCGTCTGTGGTCCTAGCTACTTGGAAGGCTGAGATGGAAGGATCACCTGAGCCCAGGAGGTGAGCTGCACTTCAGCTGGGCAGCAGAGTGAGACCTGACTCAAAAACAAACAGACAACAACAAAACAACAAACAGTGATGATGACACTGGTAGTGCAGAAAGGGTCATGAGAAGGCTTGCCATCCCCTGCAGACCCAGTGGATTATTCTCTTAAATAATTGCCAGAGAGCTAAATGCCTTCAAATCTCACTGAGAACACATGCTGCTCAGGGGTGGAATGCTGGTGTGCAGCCTCATCCATGCCTGGTCTCCTTGCACATTTAGGAGCTGTGTGATCAGATCACCCACCCCACTCCCCCCATCACAGCTGTCAACGGCAACAGCATTCACCCATGGAACATTTGACAAGTGCCTGTAAGGAGGCCAGGAGTAGAAAACCCTGGCTCTGGGATTCAGTCAACAATATATATATATTGTAACCAGAATTATAGGCGTGCGCTACCACGCCCGGCTAATTGTTTGTTTGTTTGTTTGTTTGTTTGTTTTTTGAGTTGGAGTCTCACTCTGCCAACCAGACTGGAGTGCAGTGGCCGCTCCCAGCCACCGCAGCCTCGACCCGCTGGGCTCTGGCGATCCTTCCGCCTCAGCCTTCCGAGTAGCCAGAATTATAGGCATGTGCTACCACGCCCGG